ATTCTGCGATTTTGAAACTTCACCGCCAATTCGAAGAGCTCCTGCAATGTGCTTGGGTTTCTAATTTCGAAGTAGTCTTGAACAGCGGGTAGGTAACAATCTTGGTAAGATTATTTCAATAATCTCCGCATCGGGTTTCTTCCCATACAGCATATCCGTCAGCTTAATTTTTCGTAGAATAAAGTCCGTCAACTCTTCTATATCCCGTTGATAGAAAACTATATAGTTCGGCTTCCAGCCTTACTCGATCTTTCACTATGGGGAAGGCCTTTACTAACGATTTTTTGAAATTTTCAAATGTATATGTCTGGCTTCCAAATTCCCCTAATAAAAATTTACCTATATTTTTCCACCATAGCGCGGCCTGTCCTCTTAGTGCGGATGTGGCGATGGCAACTTTTTGTCTTTCAGGCACAGGGTAGAGCTGAAAGTGATTTTCTAGGCCTTCTAGAAATATCGAATTTTTTCCGTCGAAATTGACGTTTGCCTTGATTGACGCTCTCAAAATCTGGACCAGGTATCCAAATCCTTCCAATTGGCTTGCCATTTCTTGGTATTGTCCAGCAGCTTCCATCCGATTTTCGGCCATTTCAGTTCGATAAGTGCTCGGGCGCCAATGTAGAGTTGCGCGCCTCCAACTTGCACGCAACCAAGAGGTGACTGTTGAAACTGGATAAATGACAGAGTCTTGCTAAGGGTTTAAGTCCCTTTTTATTCAACGTAATAAATTACAAGTGCGTGCTCTTGACGCTCACAAACTACGCCAACTCGGCGGTAAAATAAAAATAAGAACCTGAAAAGAAACTAATAACAAGACTCTAACTACGAGGCCCTCTAAAAGTAACTAACCTCACCGCGTTTTACAATACCGCTGCTAATTCAGCAACTAAAGATCACGTTGAACGATTAACAATTCTTCAAGGCAAGCACACAGGCCGAAACGCGGGGTTCTTCAATTTCTGGCTAACTACCTCCGCGCTCGTGAAGTAAGAACAGCACACCTCGAACTCGTTTCCTTTCTATTTAACTCAGAATACTTCCGCTGATAATTTGAATCCTTGCGCGTTCAACTAAAATTTACATACTCTGGCATTGGCAGTTCCAGGGGAAAGTAAGGCTTGACAAGAAAGATAGTTTAAACTTAAAATAAATGTTAGTTAAAATAAATATAAACCCTACAAGTGTTTGGCTTCATTTTTAGCAAAAAGATACAAGTATGACGTGAGTAAATACATTTTTGTTAACAGTCAGAGTTCTCAAATTATTGTGCTTCTATATTTGAGGATTTTAACAGTCATTTGAGATAGGCTTTTGTTCATTGAGGTACCAGTAGTGCTTGTATTCAAGGTGCCTTTTCAATTTTGATGATTTCATACCATCCACTTAGTGGCACGAGATGTTATATACTGCGTGTTTGTGGCATATTTTTTTCTGGAATAACTTTATACTGAAACTATAGTGTGATATCATTATTATGGTGTTCTTGCTGATTTATCAGTACGTAAATATAATTTACAGCTCATCTTTACAATTTTATGGTACTGCAGAGAAAATACAATATATTTCATTTCTTTTAAAATAAAGGGATTATGGTTAAAGTTTTTTTAAATTCCTGTACCTGAAATAAATTTTATAGCCTTAAGGTTTTGCTTTATGATCTAATTTGGGTTGACGATCCACAGTTTAAGAATTGCTCTCAGAAAACCAAAATGACGGGTCACAGTATTCTCAGTGTATTCTAAGATACCAGCCACTGTTCAAGCAGATTAGAGGCTGTGATACAAAATAATGGCTTATTTTTAAAGTTGTCTCCTTACTATAATTAAAAAATGCATATAAGCTAACAATTTAGGTAAATTGTTTCATCAAAGAATAAAAATTTCTGTTAATGATTTACTACGAATAAATTAGTATAAATTAGTTATTTATAAGTACATTTGAGAAAATGTATACAAAATATTTGTTCAGCGAACATGTTTTACTGATATCAATACTTAATGCACTTGCCATATACCTATTAATACACACAGTATAAGAATTACCACAAAATAACCTTGTAGAATGAGTGCGGATGAATTTAAAACACATACGAAACTTGAATTTAAACAACACTCTGAATACAAAAATTTATTACAGTCAAAAGTCGTTAATCCGGACTCGTCGGGACTTCGGCGATTCCGGATTATCAATTTTTCCGGATTATAGATCATCAGTTTAAATCTGGTAAGATAGCATGCAGAAATTATACAATTGAAAATATGAAACCATAATTTATGAAATAAAGAACAATTATGATCTAAAGGGTATCAAAATTTACAAAAAGAAAAAACATTTCTTTCAATTTTAAACATTTCTTTCAATGTAAGTTGTTTAAGTTGCTTCGTTTTTTATGTGATAATACATTCTCTTTAATTCTATAAACAGACAATTTCTTGTTCAGTTACAAAGTTCCGCTGTTGAAGTCCTATAATTGCTGTGTCGAGAATACCGACTAATTTGTCAATCGAAATTTTTCCGTTTTCAATAACCTCTGTGTCACTTTCTTCACTATCAGAAGCAAATTATAATGACAAGGAATTCGATTTAAATCATATAAAAGACGGAGTACATCGAGATGAAATACTAGATTTAGTAAGGAATTATCAGCCAAATAAAATAAAAACAACAGATTAACTGACAGATTAACTTCCAATTCATTCATTGAGGGCCGCGGAGTCCCCCCCCGCCGCAGAGCAGCGTGAAATTGATAAACAGATTTCGGAATGTTTCGAGAAACAAATCATATGCCTTTATCCATTTTTTTGCAGATATTAGGCAGATAGCACTCGAGTACTTTGCCGTAATCTAATAAACCAAACCATTTTTTGCAGCAATTCCACTTTTTGTTTAATGGACTTCGAAACATACTTTCGCTTTGTAGATCCTTTACATATTAGTAAATATATATCGGAAATTCTATTTGACATAATCGAAAGTTCATGCTTACTTTTATAAAATTGCTCTAACAGTCTGCAAAAAATAATAAGAAATATATATTTATTTTACACAGAAAATGTCATGTCCTGTGACACAAGGTTAGTTTAAAAAGAACCCTTGTTTACATATGTTATAAGTATTTATCCCTGTAGTAAATAAATCTGATTACATAAGCTCTGTAGTTACTTAAACCTGAAGTAATATTGATGGCTGCGGCCATCAATATTAGTCACAATGTGTGAAAGTAATCACTACACAACACCATGAGAGATGAGGAACAAATTTCTGTTACTTACTGCAGAGCTGTGTTTGAAATCTTTGTTGAAATTTAAAACACCCAATTTTAACAAAAACTATGCATATTTTGACATGCATATTATGACGAAACATTTAGCTATGCTTTAGGAATTTCAAAAGAAGAGCCATTTCAATGTGATAACGCATATAACATAAACTTCCAGCAAGGAACAATTTTCAACACTGAATACATATAAATAAACAATGAACAGTAATTGTTACCTAAAAAGATTTTGAAAGCCATTTGCACAGAGCCATGAACAAGGAAAATGTAATTGCTTAAGAAACTTCCGTTTTATTAAATGACCATATAAGGTGTAGAGTTATGGCATTGGTAGCATAATTTGACACTAATTTAGCAAACCTGCAATACGTTGCACATGTATTTGATTTCTAGGCACTCACAAAATTTAATCCTCCAAATGCTCAATTTTTTTTTTTTTTAAATATAGATTTCATACAAAAGAAGAAAAAGTCAAATTTAAGAATAATCAGAAAAAGGCAAAAATTCTGAAAATAAATCTTAATGAAATTATGATTTACTTTATAAATATAAAACATGCATACTAACAGCTAATGAGAATGTTCAATGTTTACAAAAATTACACAAGAAAAACAAGTTTCCAGGCAAAGCCCTACTTTATATTCTTTGCCGCAAATTCATGCTTCTTTGGAAACTCTTTTTATCAGCTGCAAGTTTTTTGGAGCAGCAAACTATCTGCAATGACATTAGAAGATACCTGGCTCACAAAGTGATGAGGTGTCAATCTCGAAAGTGATTTGAATTAAGTCTTTCAGGAATATGATGATGTTGGCTATACCACCAGATAAACAGATTAATGACTGGAGTACGGCTAATGACGGAGTGCCATTATTTCATCTCCTTGTGTTATTTGTATTCATTCACGACACTGGAATTCGTACCCTAACTACTGTTAGATGAAAAATCACGTTATTAGCACGTATCACACGAAAATCGCATTTTTACGCTAGATTTTTATTAAACAGAATTCTATGTAATGGAAAAAAAGTGCCCACTCTCAAACTACGCTTTGGTAGAAAATTTTAGTATTCAATCCTTGGAACACAGACAACTCTTACTTTACAACCGGTTTGTCTTTCTGCTCGCAAGCTAAGTTAAGGTGCTCAAGAGGCTTCTCTTCAAGCGACTAAGTTATTTTGCAGCAATCTATTATGAAATTTTAAAACTTTGTCTATAACGGTTAGGGTCTATTAACAAAGGCACCCTGGGTCTAGCACCTTTGCACAGTCAAGCTGATTCAATTTTGATTTCCGTAAATTAGCATTGTATTCATTGCGACTTTCGTTTGGCAACACTGTTTAACAGCATTTCGGTAAGTTTGTTTATTGTGATACGTCCGAAGTATGATAAATTTAATTTTAATGAAGTGTTCTTGGAAATTTAGGCATGCTTATATCACACATGAGATAAGATTCATGTATAATATATATTGATGTTGTGAGGTTTTTTATAATCTCATATTTATTTACGCAAAATATAGTATACAGCATGCAGAAACTGAGTAAAATTTCTGTGAAGAACAGTTTTATACTTGCAGAACAAGCATGAGGCAAAGCAATTCGTAAAGTATGAGGCAAGTAAGATATTAGGTTTGCCAGCTTATAAGTATTTATACAGAGCAAGAACTTTATGCTTTAGGAGGTCTGTAACAAATCATATGGGAAACGTAATATTTTAAAAAAAGCAAATGCATACCCATAGAGAAGAGAAACTTCATGTATGTGAAGTATGTAAGAGGTCGTTTAGTCAAAAGACACGTTTAAACATGCATATACTTATTCATACAGGAGAGAAACCTCATGTCTGCGAGGTATGTAATCAATCATTCAGACAAAAGTGTAATTTAAGCAAGCATATGCTGATACATACAGAAGCAAAACCTTATGTATGCGAGGTATGTAACAAGTCATTTAGACATAAGGATAATTTAAATAAGCATATGCAAATTCATACGGGAGAAAGACTTCTGATGTGTGAAGTATGTAACAAGTCGTTTAGACTTAGGGATAATTTAAACAGCCATATGCGTCTTCACACTGGTGAAAAACCTTATGTGTGTCAAGTATGTAAGAAGTCATTTACTCAGAAATGTAATTTGAATAATCATTTACGCATTCACACAGGAGAAAAACCTCATGTGTGTGAAGTATGTAAGAAATCATTTACACAGAAGTGTAATTTAAACAATCATTTGCGTATTCACACAGGAGAGAAACCTCATGTGTGTGTAGTATGTAACAAGTCATTTTATCTAAAGGGGCATTTAAATGAGCACATGCTTATTCACACAGGAGAAAAACATCATATGTGTGGAGTGTGTTATAAATCATTTAGACAAAAGAATCATTTAAGTAAGCATGTTTGTATACGCAGTTGAGACGGAGCTTGTGTGTGAGATGTGTACGAATGCATTTATGCTAAAAAGTGTTTTAAATGACTAAATTCATATCCAAGGAAGGTAGAAATCTCATGATGTGAGGTATATAATTTATTATTTGAACATAATGCTTATTAAACCAGTTACGTGTTTTCACAAGGAAGTATTTCATTTAAACAAAGTAAATCATGAGTCATTTTAAAAGAACAGTGACATAAAGCAATTTGAAGCAAGATTTTTTTTCTTATGTGAAAAAAACTGTTAAAGCAGATATTAATTAATAGGTATGTGGAAATCAAATTTTGGAACATGTCTCACTAGTGCCATTTAGTACAAGTTCTTAAAAAATTTTTATTTATCAAATGCCTGGCCATCGATCATCAGGTTATTAGGCAATGAGCTCTTCAATGCTTCTTTACAATACAGTTCAAACTCTTTTAAGTGCAGAGCAGTGTCAATGACTTGGGCAGAATCACACAAAGCACATAAAAGGGAGGCAGTCAGATTAAAATAAAACAAGGAGCACCAAGGCTGTCATGCCAGTCAGTCAGAGCAGTAGCACGAGGAGAGTTTGAAACACGGTCCGCTTTTAACAGCACCCTCCATGATTTATTTTCAGTAGCACTAACAGCAGTATTACGAAATGATTTTTTATAAATCCTATTGATTTCAAGTTTAGCAGCGTAAAGAGATATGTCTCTGAAAGACCTTTGTAGAATATCCATTCCTTTTTTTTTCCAAAAGGTCTGCCATCTCATTTCCCATAATGTGATTTCACTCACTGGAAAAAAATCTTTATCTGAATTCTACTCAACAGCTTTGGACACAAGCACTTTGTTTTCCTAGGTTACTTGCTAAAGTCTGAAGAGCAGAACTTAAGTCCAATAAAATTACAATCTTATCAAGACAAGAGAGATGGTCAGAAAGCTGTTCAAGGATTAAATAGATGGCCTCGACTTCACTGTCAAAATGGGTTGAATGGGAGCCAGCATGTAGATAAAAGGAAAACAGATCACAGATGATGTCAGTACCATGGGTGAAATCTAAAAGGGATCCATCAGTGTAAATATCACCAGGAGGATAGCGAGTATTAATGGTTTCCAAAGTGATGGCATGAAGAGCAGTTGTGCATAGGTCATTTTTTGTCACATTCAATGTCAAGTCCAGTCTGACATCGAGAGCCATAAACTCCAGTGGATTTATATGAGTTAACAATTCAAGTGCTTTTAGTTAATGACATTACATTGAGCATTTTCCTGCATGCATTGAATGATGCCCTTCCGAGTCTTTAGATTATGTACTCTGTTACAATTGTATTCACGCCAAACAGAAATATCTTGAAAAATAATTAATAGTTTAATAACTTCAGGCTTTTCCCTCCTCCTGATGTTCAATACATTAAGCATAGATATTTTAGTGCTAAGTCAGTAATTTTTTAAATTCATGTGTACAAATTTATTATGATATATACTTCATACAGTTTTCATAATATTCTGTTAAGTGTAAAAAAGATAATTTGACATAAGATTTAATTCATAATGCAGCTACATAATATTCACGAATTAACGCATTCACTGCTGATCACACACTGGCACCATACTGCTGAAGAGCCAGTCATGCTCTGGTGTGCGAAAAGCAACATCTCATTGTTTATATTCAATTTCAGTTGTCATTACGTTTTCAGTATGTATACTGGTATTGGTGGGGAGTGAAAGTTAGAAACTAGTTGTAAATATATGTGGTTTGGAATGAAAACAAAGTTTCACTTCATGCAACGATCATACACAAATAACATTCTGAAATATATTTTTTGGGTAAACGTGTATTTTAGGGTTTCCCTTGGTGAAACTTGGCAATTTTTGGCGATACATGGATACCGAGTTTGTGCAATTCTTGGACTTAGTTATTATTTTGGCTTGCATAACGGCGATGTTTGGCTAAATCACCGCTACACAAAGCCAAAATAAAAAGACAAAGAATTCAACAAACTCGGTATCCATGTACACATCAACCTAAAAGTCCAAGAATTGCACAAACTTGCATTGCGCACTCCCTTCACTTTGTCCATGTACACATCGATATGTTTTCACTTAAAAAGTCAAAGGAGCACCCAGTTCTACAATACAGGCAAACAAAAAAACACATAATCTCAATAAACTACATTTTAAACCAAACAATAAAATAGCATAAAAAAGAAAAAGTATGTTATACATTTAAGGCACTACAAAAAGCAAATACCCACTTACCCTATTTAGTTCCTTCGTCTTTAGTCTGTGCCACACAAAACTCCTTAACAGCGTCCAAAAACTTCCTAAAATTATCTGAACTCTAATCCGTATATCGGCGTTGCCACATCTGAACCTTTCTTCCTTCAAATCCATCTAAACGGTTTTTACGTTCGAGTAGACCAGGGATGGGCAAACTTTTTTGGTAGTGGGCGAAGAATTGAAAAGAAAAAGTTTGGCGGGCCAAGGTAAATTTTTCTAAAATTTTAAAAAATACAAGCATTACAATTTAAATATGTTAATGAGATAAATGAAATTGTGATTTTATTTTTAAAAGTTCCTTATATTGAGGAAATAATAAATTCTTCTGAAATAATTCTTTCTAATGTTCATATCTTAAAAATCTTGTTCACATATATGAGATGAAGCAAACACACCTCTGATTTTCTGGGCGTCTTTCGATAATGATTTATCCAAAAGCTTGAGTCCATTTTATTGATAAAACTCTCTTTGGCATATTTAGAAACAACAGCTTGAGATGATTGTTAGATTGCAACTCGGTTAATTCGAGCTGCAAATCTGACCTCACTGCTTCAGAATTTACGTTGAAAGGCAGGGTAAAGATATCCAGTACTGTTTGAATGGCACGGAAATCTTGAAATCTGCATTCGAACTCAAAATGCAGTTTTTCAATCCTTCATAATTCTTGAGCTTCTCCTCATTTACTGAGAATATTGAATTTAAGCTCAGGAAATTAGACGAATTGTTCTTAGCTAGCTGCCCAGCAAACAGATTAAGTTTTAGCTTAAAAGCTTTGGTATGAGCCCAGGTACCGTTGATAAATTGATTTGACACTCCACAGAACACTGTTTTTCATGGAAAAACGACACTATGTCGTCTTTCAGCTGCCAGAGTCGCTCCAAAACACACCCTAGACTAAGCCACCTTACTTTCGTATAATACAGTACATCGGAGTATTCAGATTGCACGGACTGAAGAAAATCTGGAAACTGCCTGTGAGTAAGCCTACAAGATCGAATAGTATTTACAAGCTTCACAAAAGCATCAAGCACGTGTTTCATATTCAATGCAGATTTACACAGAGCATCTTGATGTATAACACAGTGTAGAAAAACAGCATTGTTCGCAGAATAGTTTTGATTAAAGAGTCCAAGAAATCCAGTTTCTTTTCCTGACATATTTGGTGCTCCATCAGTCTTAATATTACATATATTTGTTATAGACACTTTCAAAGTTAAAAGTCCTTTACTGAAATTCACGAAAAATATCGTATCCCGTTGTAGTTTCCTTTAAAGAACGTATGCACGCCAGTTCCTTGGTAATTTCAAAGTTCTCATCAACACCTCTTATAAATAATACTAACTGAGTGCACAGTAATACATTTATATCAGTGCTTTCATCCATAGCTGTGGAGCAAAATTTAAACTGGTCGAGCTTTGACTCTAATTGTGATGTCAAATTTTTATCGATGTCTTTGATTCTAGAAGTTGCTGTGTTTAGAGATAAGCTTACAGTTTCAAAATTATTTTTCTTGTCTGGGCATAAATGGAGCATGCATTGTTTAACGAACTTCCCATCACTGAGAGCTTTATTATTTTTAGCAATTTTGTATGCTACTATTTAACATGAATGTGTAACTGCTTCTTTGATACTGTTTACCTTCTTGAAAACATTTTGTTGGCCTGATATTTTTTTACAAAGACTTTTTGCATTGTGTTTTCTTTCATATTCGGGCATTGCTTCGTAATTGGAATTCTTATGCTTAGATGTGAAATGACGAGAGATGTTATACTCTTTGAAGACTGCTACACCTTCACTGTAGATGAGACACACTGATTTATCTTTTACAACTGTAAAAAAAAAATATTTCCATGTCTATTCATCGTTAAAAGCAAGGCACTCTTAATCTACTTTACGTTTTTTAGTAGCCATATTGGGATTGAAATACTTTAAGAATAACCCAAAAAAGCACGAGCTAAGCTATACTTTATATAATTTCACCAATATTCACATCGTTGCTGTATGTCCGCACTCTTTCCCTTCGCAATCAATAATATTAGAACTCGCGCGAAAAGAAAAAGCCGCTGGCTGGAGCTTAAAATGTGTGCAGTCTGCCACATATGAAGGTACAATTCAAATATATTGCATTCATATATGTCTACTTCCCGAGAAAGAGATCACCAAACTAAAAATACAACTAACGAAGAACTTCCGTTTTTAAAATTTCACTGATTGAAAGCTGTCTGTGCATGCTATTTCCAGTGATTTATGTTTTGTAGAATGAAAATAGAGATTTACATACCAATCAATTAATGTTCTTTTTCCCTTTTGTTCCAAATCATACAGAAACTTCAAATTAATCTTACTACATTTAGCCATTCTACTGTCTAAATAATAAAACCAACACACACCACAAAAGTGCTTACGAAACATCCCATGATTCAAAATTTCCCAGAATCATGCACCCAATTACATCGCAATAGGGTTTCCATAACATTCAACTACTATAAATGAAACAACAACTTGGCGATAAATGAAACAACTTTGCCATAATACAAGGGGTACCTTAAAGTCTACTCTAACCATTTTTTGCAATAATATTATTGTAACTATCTTATAATAAATTCATCTTTAAGATATATATTTGAATGTGATATAGTTTTATAAAAAAATAATGCATATTGTTACTTATTTTGATTGATTTTTAAATGCAACAAATTGATGCGTAATGCGACATTGCATAAATAATTTTTAACCTCTAGTGCCGATTACATGCTGGCACGTAGTGATAAAATTCTATGCTTAAAGGGGTACAATCTATTTTTCTGGTACAGCATTAACTATCAACACAATTTCATATGACCAGCAGTGAAAGTGTTAAGGTAGAACTGGGTACTTATGTATTAACTGTAACCGCCAAACTGTGCAGATGGTTTCGTTAAATGTGAGTACCTAAAACTGTTTACATCAGCATTTCTCAAACTGTAGTCTGCTGACTAAATTGCTTCTCCTAGATTTGCAAAAATATCCTATTATATGTAAACAAGTAATCTATAATAACAAGATTTCACATCATTTCTTAGTGATGACATGTGGGTAAGTAGACTGACATATATTTTAGAATGAAGTCTCAAAACTAAATCTTTGTCTACAAAGTAGTTCTCTGTTCTCAATGCCTGCTAGAAAATAAAAGGGTTTTTAGAAGGAATTTGGCTTGTAGATTAATTGTGTAAAACAGGGAATGGTACTTTTCCGTTTCGCCGGCACAAATCTCGCCAAGCAGACTTTGTTCGCGACAACATACAGTATATACATAAAAAATTTTAACAAATGTTAGTTCTAAGAATTTTTTATTTTTGAAATGTTATATTAAAATGTTAAAGCATAAACATTTTAATATGGTTTATAATTTTGTAAAAAGCCAATAAATAAAGACAATAAATTTGTAAAAAGACATTAATTTAAGGATTTACTATGCTATTATAGTTCAACATCCTGATTCGCTGGTTCTTATCACGTGACCCCAAGTGATCTCATCTCATGTAAACTATGCTTCAAAAATACAATTCTCTCGATAATTATCTACATTAATTTCAAGTTAAATCTTAATTTGGAATACAAATTTAAATGCAAGAATTATTTCAATTCATGTGAATAGCTTACTCAGAAATTATGTAAAACCGTAGTGCTTTACTTTGCTAGTGCACTCTCATTAGAATAGATGAATTTAACCCTTGATTTTGCCTTTTCTATATTTTCGCCTTCGGGTGAGCGGTGTGATTGCATCCTAATTGACTTAATTACCGCGAATGGTCTTAATGCATTAAATTTAATTATCTTTGTAAATATTCTATGTAATTGTATGCCAGTATTGAAAGAACCAATCAATCTGGTAAAAAATGGCTGTGACTTGTTTTGAAAATGAGACGTAAAATGTTACCAGCGAAGATATTCCGTTTGGCATCCGTTGTACCGTTATTGGCGACTTTATCGTTTGCGCCGACAAAAAGGAAAAGTACCCAGGGAATTTTTCATCATTTTCAACCTTAGAACTTTTTTTTTAGTGGAAAATTATATTGTTATTGGGAAAGAAATATGCAGTGACATATGTTTGCATGTTAAAACATGGAGGTCACAATTTGAAACTTATTTTCCAACTGGTAAATATGATAAATTTTCATAGGTTCATATCTTTCTGTTCTGTTTTAAAAAATAACAAATTGTTCATTAGATGGAAGAGAACATTTAATTGAACTTACGGTTAGTGTAGATTGAAAGGTGTTCCTTGTATTATTGGGAACTTGTTGCCTCATTTATCGCCAAGTTGTTGTTTCATTTATGGGCACTTGAGTAGGAAACCCTATTATGATGTAATCGGTTGCATGATTGCAGTAAATTTTGAATTATAGGAAAAAATTTTAAGGGCTTGTGGTGTGTATTGGTTAGGAAGTACATTGCTGGTTTTGTGGTTTAGACGGTAGAAAGACTGAATGCGGTAAGATTAATTTGAAGTTTCTGTACGATTTGGAACAAACAGGGAAAAGAGCATTAATTGACTGGTGTGTAAATGAAGGTTTACTTAGTAGCTATTTTAAGTCTCCTGTTTGTAGGAAGGAAATGTGTATAGTTGAATGTCGGAAGTTAACGACACTACAGAG